CTGGGTGACAGAATAAGAGTTTCATTTCTTGCTCTTCTTCAGTGTGTTCGGAGCCCCATGAGAATGATGTAGTGGGGTCAGTCAGTGCAAATGCTGAGACAGGGTCTTGCTGCTGTGCAACATCACTAAAGGACCATTTCCTTGCATGTTCTTTTCCATTACAAATTTACACCATGACACCATCCCTCAAAGCAAGTAAGTGTTTACCGAAAACAAGATCTAGTCAGAATTGTATAGTCAGAGATAGGAGTGCTGTGGATAAGTCATCACAAATGGCTTTTTCCTTACGTGTTACTTCAGCTTCTACTTAATCCGATGAGTCGAAGTATTCATGTGCTCTTTTGAAACCATAGCGCTCTTGGTGTTTTTATATTCCTCACGAGTTAGGTTTAGTACCTTTAGTTTCTATAATTTTCTTTTACAGTGAAGGAGAATGTAAGTCCTTTTGCCTATTTCAGTGGTGAGAGCTAAACTAAGCAGCATGTAAGTATTGCGGTATGTTCCCGTTATCTAAACTGAGGACCTGTCCACTGTGCCCATCTGCCTTCTGAGCCTACCACCGAGGAAGGCCTTCAGAGGAAGGCTGATGTGCATCTTGGTTTCACCCTGACGGGGAACCAGGACACGATGGGCATTCCCTTCACACCTGTCCTCAAGAGCACAGATGTGCTGCTGGGACCTCCACATTGGACTTGGCCTCTGAGCCTCATGTTTAGGTATCTCCTAGATGAGCAGTGCACACACAAAGCTAGCCATGGTTGTTTGAAGTTCACTGTGTCTTTTTTACACTATGTATATACTGTAAAGAGCAAAAGACAATATCAAGCCTGAAAAACTCATGCCACCTAGGTGCATGAGAAATAGCACTTTCTCTCGGGCACTTTGCAACCTTTGTCCCTGACTTACCATGGGTGTATAAAAATGAGAATAATAATTAGGCCTATTTAATGCTAATTTATTTTCTACCGTCAAACTGATCTGGTGGTTTATTCCAGCATTTTGAGCTCTCTCTCAGTATATCTATCAGAATTTGTAACAGGGATCTTAGACCTTTCTTATATCTTTACATGAGAGAATTGATAACAGGCAGTCCTGAAATATGATGTTAATATGTTTGCTATTCTACACAACTATTTTTAATATCACAGATATGGGTTTTTTCAATACTTGCAACTCAGTTTTTCATATTCCTTCCATGCTCCTGCTTGAAAATAGAGAGGGAAAGTCACAGAATGTTAGAAAGCACTCATTTAATGTGCTTTTAAGTATGGCAGGCTGCAGGAGGAGGAAATCAAGAAGTTGTCACCCTGAAATGAGAACAAAGCCAAGTGATAGTTGCATTGTAAAAACATTAAGGAAAGTCCTTGCTTATTACAGTCAATCCCAGTCCTTTCAAATGACAAACCAGTTAAAGAATTTCTAGGTAGGCTAACTGCTTTCTCTGGTATTTTAGAAAATGGAAGAAAACAGAAGGTAAGGCATATGTTGTGTTAAGAGAAATTTTGAGATTGAAGGTGTGATGCCACTTAGACACTGACAGCTGCAGTGGTCATAACTTAAAATGTCTTCGCAAATATTAAAATCATAGAATCAAAATTCTGCTGTGGTACGGAACAACACTGCTCGAAAAGCATACAATGTTTTGAAAGATCTCTTGGCTGTTTCACGAATTATTTTTCTCATCTGTAACTGCTGCAAATTACAAGGCTATGTTTCTACTTTCTATGTCTAGTTAACATATTTATCATACACATAATTCTTAACACTTCACAGTGTTGTCCTGATATTACCAGGAACAAACATAAGACATTTAAAAACACAAAGGAGCCCACCTGATCTAATAGGTTTCAACATTTACATTCAACTCAGTCTCGGTACGTTTGGTTGTTTTTTTTCTTACTACAGTCCACTATTGATTTCACCTCTGGAAAGAGACCAACCCATGTTCTTAATTCTTTGCTGCAGTAGCCCTTAGAATTTATCCATGTTTGACCCTTCCATTAAATAGTGCTGCTTAAATTCCTTTTTGCTTTTCAAATTGATAGAATAACTGTTTTCTGCTCTATTTGCTAATGAAACTAAATCCTCTGTTTGGCCTTCACAGTTTTGTTGGGCACTAGGCTGACGGGTTTGCTGGGGTATGTTTTGAGCCTCGCTACATTCATAAAATCTTACTGAATTTGCTGGGTACTGCATACATCTGTTCCATTGATATTTCTATCCCGATTCTCCATGCTGTTCTTCAACAGCTTTCTGGATGATCTTTTCAATTAGAGCACAGTCTTGAGATTTTATTTTCCCAAGAAGAATTATGTAACGTTTATACTGAGTCATATTTGCCATCTGCTGATCCAACCACATAAACAATCCAAATTCTTAAAAACCTGAGTTTTCCTTAGTATCTCCTTCTAATCTAATTTTTCACAAATGCGCATACCCCTGCCTTACGATTAGCTCTTCACAGAATACTGGCACCTCTTCAGAGGCTCTTAGCAAACTCGAAGAAGCCTATTCATGCAGAGCATGCAGAGGATACATGTGAGAAAGTATTTATCAGGCAATGCATGTGATCGCAGACAAAATCAAATGCAAGGCAGAAATAAAGAGAAATCATGGCTACCTTAACAGAGGACATCAAGAAACTTCAAGATGCAGGGGTATTCTTAGTTTACGGCTAACGTCTTTGGAACTAGTTAATGCTCAAGCGGCTGGTAACAAGATACGTAACTTTTTACTCCAGCTTTAAATTACTGTTTTCCACTGCGACTCTGCTGTGACTAAGGACTTAAACTGTAAATCCTAATTCATGTAATTATACATTTATTTATTCGAACTATAATGAAACACTTGTGATGACAGAATCAGACCTTAAAATTGCTATTTATATCAGACACTTTCAATCAGAAAGGCCATAGTTATAGAGTTTCGCCACCTAATTATTTTATGCCAGTGCTCAATTCCATGTCCCGTTGACAACATTGGAGAAGACACCACTTCACATTCTGAAAATTCCAAACTATGTACATTACATTTCCTAGCTAAAATATAGATACTGTTTTGTTGCTGTGGACAACTATATTGGAACAACAGGTCTCCATGATGATAATTTTTTTTCCTTTGTAAGACAAAATCTGACCCTAGAAAGAAATTTCTATTTATTTTTAAAATTGTTTAATTAGCTAATAAAAATATGAAAATACCTGTAAAACTGTTACTGACAGGGACTAAAACCAATCATTTGTGAAATCAACAAGGACTTTACCATTGACTTGAATGTACCACACGTCTGGAGTAATTAAGACTCTCTCTGAAAGCATAACATTAAAATCCTGCCTACCACAATGTTATTTTGCCATTGCTGTGCTTTACATCTTGTGAGCACAGTTCATGGGAGAATGCCACTGATCTCAGTGGGGGAATGGGAAGAGGTCTTAACTTATTTGCCTGTTATACCTATGGTTCTACCTACACAAATCACTGAACTAAAACAGGAACATGGGGCTGTCATTTGGCTTTTCACATATGCACAGTATCAAATGGTGCATTAAACAAGGATATGCTTATGAGCTGGCCAGCACTGAGTATTTTCAGCATAGCTTGTAAGAACCCAAAAGCCATAAGGAATGATTAATTTTGCTGCCTGGAAAAGCCCTACAATTCAGAAGGCGACATGTTTGAAACCCCTAACAGAACCAGGAGTACCAGAACAAGGGATGACTGGATCTGATACCAAGTATTTTTGAGTTATACCTCTCATCCTTTGCAACATTAAGAAGCCACGATGCCGGCGTTTGATGGGTGTGAGCAGTCCCACCTGCCTCATTTGCCGAGCCAACAACGCAGTCTTGCTCCCGACCTTAGCGGGGCCCCAATTTTCTTTTTTGTCTACACCGGTTTGCTCAACGAAGCAGGCTCGTACCTGTGCGGGAGGGCCCTGCCATGTCCCCGGAGGGGGTCAGAGCCCTGGTCGGGGGGGTCTCCTCAGACACACACGCCTAATGCCGCGGCACCCCAACCCGCCCCTACCAGCTGCTAATTCCCCTCAGGGCG